ATTTTAAATTTTCAAATTTTTTGCTGTATTAATACATTTAAAAATAATAATAATAATATAAAACTAATAATATTTTCTTGATATAGATAAATATGTATTTGTATAATTTTAATAGATTAATTTTTATAAATAAAGAAAGTAAGCATTTGATAAACGGCCACTTAGATAAAAGTCCAAAAATCTTAACGGACTATCAAATTTTGAGTGATTAAGTCCCTAAACTTTTTTTTGAAGAAATAAACACTTCAACTTTTTTAAAATCAGACAAATAAATTCTTAAGCTTTTTAAAGTCAAATAAACCTAATAAACTGCCATAATTTGAACGATTAAGTCCCTAAACATTTTTTGAACCAAGTTTTTAGACTTATAAAACGAGAATAATACATCATTTCTCAATCGATGTATCCATATCAGTAACAAAGTACAATAAATCAGTAAAAATGGGTATATACCATTTTCATTATCGAGTACTTATTTTTTCATATTGAAATGAGAATATTAAGAGAAGCTTCTGTATTTTTCTGTTTTATGGGGTTTCCTATATTTTCTTAGTGATTCGTTGATGCATGGAAAAAGTGTCTTATGGTGATTTCCTTGATTATGAAAGTCCTAGTTTTTCAAATGATTCAAGTTTCACATTCCAAAATCTACTTAATTAAGTGAAGGCTATGCTATGATTTTGTCCATTTCTCATCTAACATATTTTCAATAAATTTTAGGGATTGTTTGTGTTTATCGGATAAGATTATTGATCATCAAAATATCATAGTATAAACGTCTCTCACCTGGTAAGTGCTAAGTGGGTAAGAGTCACCGCCTTCACTTACCAGATAAGATTATCAGTTAACAAAATGACACAGTAAAGATTATTGATAAAAAAAACCATCATCTCTTAATTGGTAAGTGTCTTATACATTTATATCATCGTGTCTGGTTCCAGGTACGTCATCATATTCTCCACACTGTTCTTCATGACCACCTTCTCGATGTTTGATGTCCCCATGTTTCAGCCAATACTACATTGTTACTAGTTTGTTATGAAGCATCAAATCATGCGCAATGATCAAATAAAGATGTCATGTTCAATACCTAAAAGAAGGCGAGTGCCACTAGTATCTGGATTACCTATAACTCCCAAACCCCTTCTAAAGTTCAAGGGTTCAAATCTCACCGCATGCTATGAAGTATTGTGAGTTCTACAAAACACAAGTATTAAGTACACTTCAAAAGGAAGGCAGTAGCACCCGATACTTCATCAAATATAAGGAACCATTAGTTCACTTATGTGCTCTTTTTTTCGGTTTTTATAACCGCAGGTGTTTGGGTCAGTTTAAGACTAGTCCTAATAAACCTTAAAGATAAATGTGGTGTCTGATTGGTTTGAGCTTGGCTCCAAAGGTCAAAAGCACTTAGAAGTCCTAGGTTCAAATCCAAGGAGGAATAAAAATCTCCTTATGGCCACAGAAGTTCAAATGCGGTGACTCCAGGCTTTATGCAAAGCAGTTGATCGCTCTGAGATTAGTCGGCTCGCATAACGGGTTGGATATCCAGGTTAGTAGAAAACAAGGCGGCCAAGCAGAGCAGAATAAATGCGTAAATGAGGTGCAAGTAATACACGATCATCGTTTTCTCACTCTCATGTTTGTGTACATGAATACAATCTCTGTCTCTGTCTCTATCATATCATATATCATTTTATAATCTACACCCCCCCTCTATTACCATACCATCCTTTTTCAAATGCTTTCAATTTTTTTGTTTACATTTCCTCTTCTCCACCGGCTCGCTTGCTAGCTCAACTTTCAGTCTGCTCGCGACCCGCTGCTGCTGCTGCTGCTACCTGCAGAAGATTTCTTACCACCACCGTATTTCTGTTGCGCACCCACAAACAAACAAACACCCGTCAACAGAAACATCATCATGTTAAACTACAGTTGGTTCATTTTGCCGGGAAAGTTTTGGGTACAAGTCCCATACTGACCTGCTTTCCGATATTGAATGGAACGTATCTGTATTTGATCATGTGCATGATTTGACGCTTCATGGTGAGACCAAATAACACAAACCAGTAACAAAGTAGTATTGGCCAAAAGACAGGCACATCAAACATCGAGAAGAAGGTCATCAAGAACGATATGATGAAAGCCTTTGTGATCGCATACCTGGAACAACCACAACCACATAATGACATTAATTACTTGACCAATCTGAAAAAACCCCAATCATCAAAGTATTACAAAGCAAGGTTCTAAGTGGCGTGAGGCATGGCAGTGAGGTCGAGCCTCAACCCTAAGAAGCCACGGTGTTATCCACGACGTAACTTATGACGATAAATCTATATATCATATATGTGTGTGTTTACTCTGATATAAGACCATATATAACCAAGTGATTTACTAGAAAGATAAAAAATCAAATAACGCCTTACAAAAAAGGTGCATTAGACCATGGCGTGCCATAGAGACAACGTGGCATCGGAGACGAGCCTTTTAGAACGCTAATTACAGGTATTGAAGCATAATTTGGTTAATAGTTTGCTACATGTATCCTTGTCTGCATAGGCTTACAAAAAGGTAACCACTATATATAGCCAGAAGCTCATGAAAAGAGCCGAGTGGGTTTTGATGATGCATTATTTCCCCTGAGACAAAATACAGAATCTCTGCTCTGAAGGTGTAGGAAACCAGACATGTAAATATCCAGGAAGAACTTCTAAGAAACTTACTATTGTTATCCTTCTACAAATAACCATATGCAAAATGCAGAAAATATTAATGGCTACTGGGGTTTGAGGGAGAGAGAGAAAGAGAAACCCCTGGACTCCATAACTCAAAGGGTCATATGATGATCAATTTCTGCCAGATGCATTTTGTGCAGAGATAGAGCGTGTGCCTCAAAAATGTAAAGCAACTATTTTGGGGCATATAATATAGGACTGCAAGATAGAGTATTTAACATCAGCTTAAGGGTATATGTACATAGCACAAGTAACAGACTGGGTTCGGTTATGCGAGTACAGATTGGCTAGGCAAACAGTCACTTTATACATTATCAAGCCTAAACCCTGCTGCGGCAATGTTCACCATCTCCAACTTGAACATAAGGTCAATAACTAAGCATGATCCAAAATCGAGTAAGGTGCCATTGGATGCCCAACAGGCAGTCTCAAGAACAGGCATGAGTGTCCGGAAGTTGTCATTGTATACTCCGATGTGTCCAAATTGGTAACATGTTATTTGAAAGAGAGATAACTGATAAGTGATCACCATTCAATCTAAAACAAGTTATCTTCAAATAAGGCAACGAAAGAACATGCATACTACTTACATGCATGCAGAAGTCACAAATGAATAACAACAGAATCCTTCAAACAGCAAGCCCCCTACTTTAAGATGCCCTTCCATACTCAATACAGCGTCAGTTGCTCAAGTAGAATCGATGCAGAGGTGAACTATAAATCTGCTCAAGGATGACACTAATACAAAGGACTATTTCTAACTTGGAGTTTTTCTTATTCCCTAGTGCATATTTCCAGATTTGAACATGGAAAGTTCATTCATTACAACTGATAAAATGACAAAAGAAATGTTGTTAAAATTGATGTGCTCGTCTTACGACCAGAGTAGAATCAATAACTCCACGGAACTTGCTAGTTGCTAAAGTGCATCCTCAATTCCTGATGCACATTAAAGTGCGCCACCCCAAAAAATAAAACCAACTATCCTACCTACTAGATGATAACAACAGGGACATGGGCACACAAATTGAGGATACAACAATGACTTGGTATAGCTAATGAAACTAAGCAACAAAATCATGTTTTTAACACTCAATACCAGCAGTTTAATGATAAAAACCTTCTTAATTTCCAAGATTGCAGTAACATGAATAAATGTTACTATGAATCTTTTGAGTATCATGAAGCATAAGATCTCCAAGATAATCAATAGGATTGGCTTTGGCACCAACTTCTAAATTCTAGTTATTAGAGTTATCTGCATATAACAGAATTTGTAGTTGTAATAATAGCTCATATTTATCAAGTATCACCATGAAAAACAAGAATAAAAAAAGAAGGTACAAAACCATATCAAGACGGTGAGAATCAGCTAGGACACACTGACTTGAGTAGAATACCACAAAAGAAAACAAAAAAAGAATGATAGGAAAAGAGAGAGAGAAAGAGGAGAAGAAAAGGTACAAGAAGGTCATGAAACTATTACCAGAACTTGAACTCAGGCAGCCTTCTGATAAACGGCTTGAATTCATCGGATCCTTTTGTAGGTAGCAGGGGGCCATCTGAAGGTTCCAGCTCGGGGTCAACCAGTGGTGATAGAAACCCAATCAACAAGTTCAGTATATAGATTCCCAGACCATAACTAACAATGTAGAACCCTTGCACGTAATAAACTCTCAGTACATACAGAAACACTAAAGCTCCTGTGGCAATCCATCTATAGACAGCATGTGGAGTAGTTTTATCCAAGTAAAACTGAAAAAGCCTCGAAAACTGCCTCCATTGATCTAAAGTCGCTGCGGATGCACTATCACCACCTCCAACACCCTCCATGAAAATTTAGCCTCAGAACCCTACAAATCCCAAATACAATACCAATCAATATAATAACATCTAATTACAAGAATAGAGGCCCTGACTCCTGAAGCCAAGACATACTCCCTCCCCCCCTCCTCCCTTCATCCTTACCCCCACCCTCTTATCATTTAGAAGAAATTGTTCTTAAAATGAAATGTAGTTCAGTAATTAAAGGCTTGAAGCTACACATAGATTTTGAACCTCAAGCCAGCCAGATAGTATTGCTGATTTTTGCTTCTTACATCAATCACCCTTGGTGAATAAACCTCTACCGCTTAAAGAAATTGTGAAGCTACAATCGGGTTGTAACTGTATCCTCTTCAAGAAACTTCCTAACCTTCACTCAAGTTGTAATTGTAAGACCATATTAAAATGTACGGTTAAGTCATTGGAAACAACCTTTGATTATGTTAAAATGCAGTATAACTATCTTCATTATATCTATCAAAGAAAACAATGTACTAATTGACCATTCGTAATCTCTTTGTAAACAATCCTTTGTTAGTGTTGAAATTCGAATCCCTTGAAGAAACTTCTTACACTTCAAGAGAGCCTGAATCCAACCAACATTATAACGCAACTAAATCAACCTGTATCTGTTAGTTCAAGCGAGCTATATTCATTCATCAGAGCAACAAAAATTATTAAATAATATTTTTTTTAAACGCATCGAACATCTAAGAAGCAGATCTGAAGCGGTCTACCAATATTTACAAGCCGTAACCTATAATCACGGACAGATATCAAAATATGTACCGATAACATTAGGGTTTACAGACGAACGCAATCAATAAAAGAGGTTCTTGAAATTGAATACAGACTACTGAGAACGGAGAGATATAGAGATTGAATCAAGAACTTACCTCCGATGACGGTGAAGGAGTCAGAGAGATCGGTCGGAGGGGAAGTCGGTGGAGGAGAAAATGGGATCCGCGTTGCAAGATGAGAAGCGTCAGAGGGGGAAAAAAAGGAGTTTGCCGATAATTCACAGATCTGTACAGAATAATAACTCGCCTCGTCTGGGCCGTGAAGGCTGCTGACGTCACGTAAAAGAATATTCTCTGTTAGACAATTTTTATCCTTCTTTTTGGGTAAAATTACATCCACACCCCTTCATCCGTGTTACGAAAGAAAAAAAAATTAGAAGTAAATTACAAATTTGGTCCCTATAGTTCACACCTTCTACTTAAACTGCCTTCAAAATCAAAATAAATACAATGATGATATTTGTGGTTTACATTTTTGCATGTACCGAGTCATGGTAGATCAAGAAACTTATGTGACTTGGAACACATAAAAATTTGTACAATCAATACAACCCAATAAATTGAGATGTTTATGAAAATGATGAGAGTTCATTTATTATGATTTAAATATTTATCGAAGATGAATAAAGTTCATTAATTATGATCAATACTTTATATTATGCAACAATCAAAACTTCTATGAAATCACATATTTATCAAATTAAATGGATGGTTGAGATTGGGTTTTGTATAATAATCCACCTATATATATATATATATACACACACACATATATGTGTGTGTGTGTGTGCGCATGTGTCCCCATAGCTTCATACATGGTTCGGTGAACACCACCCCTACCTCCATCCATCACCTTCTCCCTCTGGTAACCACCTCTCCTTTCGACAAACACCACATCCATTACCTGCAACAACCTATCGTCGAAAAATACTTAAACTTGTCATTTTCTGATTTCTTCTTTTCAAGGTTTTTCTGGTGAGAGGGAGCAATTTGTGGGCATTTTAATGGTGGTGGTGTGCGTGTGCATAACAATGGCAGCGTATGTGTGTGTGTTTAACAACGATTATGTGTTGTTTGCGTGTGGTTAACAAATGTAGTATGAATGCTTAAATATTTATCTACACGTATGTGGGTTTTGAAATGAAAAGGTTGCATGTGGGGTGGTTTCTAGATGGAGATAGGTCGTAGATGATGACGGAGAAAGGTTGGAGACGAGTGTGAAAATGAAGGTAAAGGTAGGTGGAAATCCCGTTGGTAATTTTTATTTGTTAAAAAGATTTTCATTTCTAAAAATTAATTGTCACCAAGAATCAAATGTGTATAGCATGAAATATGAATGGTCGAACCAGGATTTCGTTTTGCTATATGAAAGCTTGAAATGACGTCGTTTGAACCATTTATAATTAAACCTAATGAAACTAGACAAATCAAAGACGTCATAATTATATTATTTGTTTATCTTACATCTTTAATTTAAAAAAATTAATTATAGATTTAGCCCATATGGTTTGGTGGTTTTTACCAAATTGGTCCCTAAACTTCATTTCCTACAAATTAGGACTTGTCATATATTTGTTTTATAACGAGTTGGTCTCTCGCTCTAACGACCATCCAATATTTACGTTAAATTTGAAGGCATACTCGTCCTTTTATCTTTCGAACAAATCCCTAATTACGTCTAAATAAATAATAAAATATTAAGTTATTTTTTATATTTTAAGTTTATTAGAAAATAATTAAGTGATTTATTTATTATCCTCTAATATATATTAATTATTGCACTTTATATTTAATTTTAATATATAATATAATATCTATCAAAAAATACATATTACATACGTATGTGCGCATGCGCACACATATACGCATATATATAGTGAGGTTTAAAGGGAAACCACAAATAAATAAAAATTGGAAAGCACGTCTATCAACTATTAGATTAATTGATTAACGGATGTGATTAAATAAGTGGTTACCATAATATTTTTCTAAATTAGGAAACCTCACCCCTATTTTTTATTTGAAAAGAACAAAATATAAACAAAAATCGAGTCAAATACGTTACACCAAAAAAATAATCATAATTTCCTCGTTATTTTGACGTTTTTATTGATATATATATATATATAATACTAATAAATAAGTAACTTTGAGGACACGTGTCATGTTTCTGTGCGACGGTTATTGATTTTTCCCGCCTAAACATGTATCTAGACACAATTTTCACTTACGGCCCCCAGACTTACAACATATGAGTACCACTGTATATCACAATGGGTATCACATTGTATATATTTGTGATTACTTGGTATCTGCAGAATTTTTGTTCAGCGGAGACCGAAGATTGGAGGTCGGAGAGATGAGAGAGGAGAGAGAAGAGAGAAGTTTTTTGAAAATACCTAAAATGTCCTCTAATTATAATTTTAACTTAAACTACCATAATTATTAATTTCCTAAGTTATCCGTTGATTTGTGGTTGAGATTGGATCTCACAGTTACCACAAACTAATCAATTCTCATTTGATTAAGCCCCTATACAATATATATATATATATATATATATATATACTAGAAACGTACTCACGCAATGTAGCGAGATACATCGTGATTTTAATATTTCATTTTATTATTTATCTCAGTCGATATTATAATATGACTTTATGTGATTTTGA